TTAAATATGATGCACATCTACAAATATCATTAGCGAAAATCGAAATAAAGGTGTTATTTCAAATGTTTGACGTGAATGAGTTGTTCGTCGATTATTTTCGAGGGGTTTTCCAACGGTCCGCGAGTCGTCCAATAAACGACAAACGGTCCGTGTCTTTTATTTTTGGTCGGGGATAGAAAACAAGATACAATAGTTGTGAACGTGAACGTTTTTAACAACATAAGCTCGGTCAATTTGTGGATGTTCTTCCGGCGTGTGTCCAAACGACGCGACGTGCGGTCTACGGGGAATAGAAGATATCCATACGTTGTCTTCTTTGTGCGACGGACAGGATCTTTCGCTTTTATTCTTCTTTTGACATTGTCTTTTAGAAGATTACATTTGTAGTTTATTGCGCGATCGGGAATCGTTCTCTACGTTCATATTTTCTTAGCAACAAAAATACGCAAATATTAGAGTTGTAGCTTTGCTCAAGTGACACAAATGATGTTTCAAACTGAATGCGTGCGGAAAATACGAAACATGAAAGCGATAAATTATCTGTATTTAGAATGTAACTATTTGCAATCGAAATCCACAAACTGTTTTTGGACAATGTTTGCTAATGATTTATAGCTTAACGGATGGGCTTTGATACGCTGATTAAAAGTACGCTAATGTCGCACGTAAAAACATGAAAATGTGTGCTAAACATGAAAAACTGAAGGTGTAATTAATGCTTTTAAGAAAAAGTTTAGCGGCAGTACGCCCGGGATAATGTAAGTTTGGAAAATTAATTACGGATGTTGTAGGGAAATTAAGATAAGGCTTTATCTAAAAGACACGAAAAACTCTCGTATAAAACAAGGGAAGATGATAATTTCATAAAAAAGAAACTGTGTAATTTCAATAAATAGCATTTTTAAAACATGTATCTTACTTTCATCTTTGGACAATAACGCACTCTGTTTTTTTTATCATTCATTTGTGTGTAATTATTTTTTGTCCAACTTTTATTTGCGAGTATACGATTTGCAGTAGCATTAGTCGCGATATTTTGACGATACGAAAATTATGCTTTAGTAAAAAACCGAGAGAAAAATATCATTGTTTCAAGAGAGGAGGAGAGGAAACGTCTGTACGTAGGACGTACCATTTCCTGCAAGCTGCGGAGTGCGCGAGCTGCGCTTGGGCGAATTTAACCGCGCCAGAGATTCCAAGAAAATCTATTTAATCTCCCGTCCGTCGATGGGGCACGGACGATGGAAGCACGCGGTGGCGCGTAGACTAATGAGAAGTGGGGTCGGTTTTTGACGTGGGGTATTTATTATTGAGACGAGCGTTAGAGCCGCGGGGTGGAAGGAGTCGGAGTAGGTGTTCTCTCTTTCCTCGCGAGAGCGCGGGTGAGGGTGAAAGGCGGAGGCGAGAGAGAAGGAGATCGGGAGAAAGAGCGAGAGAAAGGTCGCGCCTCAAGCTTTAATTACC